AGACTTTTGGCAGGGTGAACTAAAGCCCCCAGATATGATGAATAGCATTTTCGTCAAAAAAGCCTAAGAAATAACCCGGGAACTTTCCAAAGTGTAACATCATTTGGGGGAGGGTTTCCCAAATGAGGGGAATTAGGAGACAATTCAAGTGGAGCCGAGATCTGCGTCGAGTCTTTTTTGGATTTTCCTTTTTTTTCGAACTAGTAAAGGGAGTTACGTGACTCGATCGATTCTTTTTACATTAGATCCAGAAAGACAAATTTAGTCATCTCCTTTGGCAATTTTGTGCAACAAAGTCCGTAGACTAACGTTGAGTTCCCCCCTTTTTCCTATAAAATTTTGGGGACCATAGAAGAGGTCAAGTTAGTTTTCCTTTTTTCATGTGGATTTTCTCCGAAATTTTTAGGGATTGGGTCAAATAATTTGGTGTCCTGATGCAAACCATCCTGAGCCACAGTAATAAGATAAAAACTCAATTTGTAGATAAGTCGAATTATTTCCTTCCTCTACACGGTAAAAACGGTACCTGGTTTTCCCAGGAGCCCTATGGCGAAGACATAGGCGATTTCCAGGGGGTTCCTGGGAAAACCAGGAACCGCTTTTACCGTGTAGTTCCTGGATCAGTTATGGACAATACGTCCATGAGAATTTAGTGAGGTTTCTGCGCGTATCACAAACTGATTGCGGCGCATTCAACGTCGCGTAATCCTAGGACCATCGCCCGACAGCAACACCCACACTCACCTTGTCCAGGCTGCAACCCTTGAAGACATCGTCGAGTTCCTGGCAATGCTCCTCCTGTTGACTTAATCTCTGGACATCCAAGCACTCGTCGGGATGGAGGACCTGAAATCAGGAGGGAGGGAAGTGATGGGTGAAGACACACTTGGTTCCAAACAAAGGTACAGCACGTAACCTCGATATACCGTCAGCCGCTTATAGCGTTATCCCGCTTATAGCGTTCGAATAGCGTTTCACCGGTTGAAAAGAGGCCTTTTTAGTGTTAAAATATCCCGCATATAACGCTCCCGCTTATAACGTTATCCCGCATTTAGCGCGGCTATTTGGCTGCATTTCCTCCCGTTATAGCGTTTTTGGTGACTCAAAATCCGCTGTTTTTGCCTAAACGAGGTAACTAAACGTCGGTTTAAATCTCCGTGGACAGTATCAGGCATGCACATGCACAGTGCAGGGCGGGCGGAAATTCAGGGATGGGAAGGGGAGGGGGCGTGAGCGCGTATCCCCTGCACTGTGGCAAAAAGCTACAGAAAATTCTGTAAACAGCTTGTGGTAATTCTCCGTAGCCACCTTATCAATATTCTCCGTAGGCTCTTACAGTATTTTCCGTAGGACCGTACAGTATTCTCCGTAGGACCGTACAGTTAGGTTCCAGGTCCTACGGAGAAAACTGTGCGGCCCTACGGAGAATACTGTAAGAGCCTACGGAAAATACTGTAAGAGCCTACGGAGAATATTGATAAGAGGGCTACGGAGAATCCTGGCAAAAAAATTAACAGAACTTTCCGTAGCTTTTTGCCACAGTGTGTCGCCGCGTCCGTCCGTTGTTGTTGTTGCCACCTCACCGCGTCGAGTTCCAAAAATCGCGCCCCGCCGGCAAGCCGGCGGCTGAGGGCGTCACAGGGGCCGGCTTTCAGCTCGTCAGTCAGTCGTTAGTCGGTCTTCGGTGCGGTCGCGTCTTAGTGTCAGTCCAAAACAACCACCATGGCTCCAGTCAAGGGCCATAAGCCGCCAGGAAAACGCTCTACATTCTCCGTCGAAGCGAAGGTGGCTGTGCTTCGAGAGTTCGACGCGAATCCCAACCTGCAGAAGAACAAGCTTGCTGAGAGGCTCACCATTGCTCCAAGTACCCTGAATACCATTCTGAAAAACAGAGAAAAATAACAGGAAAAGTAGCGTTATACATCGGCAACTTTGGCCCGTCCCGTTCATCAGGGAATGTGCGAATTTCGCCTATGTTTAACCCTGACGGGATTTGAACCTGAGTCTGGGGGCAAAATAAATGTTATTTTTGTCATCAGCGCCCCAAAAACATCAGAAACAATGCTAAAATTTGAATAAAAAGAATGTCTAAAATATACCCCACTGGGATTTGAACCCGGGTCGAAACTTCTCCGATTCGCTTGAAACTGGCACCGTTGGTTTTGTTTCGTGGCCCCGATTCCAAAAATACCCCTACATGCCCTCCTAGCTGTATCCGTTGCTGAAAACCTCCTCGACCCCCTGTAGACCATGATGCACCTGCAGCAGCGCCCCCGGGGGTCGGATCGGATTTGCTGCCACCGGGCGGTTTTTAGGGTCACCCAAGGGGCTGCATACCCAAAATTTTGGGCAAGATCGGACCACGGGAAGTCCTCGGACGAACGAACGAACGGACGCACAGCATGCATCATACTATATGCCCGTCCCTCCGTCATTTTTTTACAAAAAATAAACGGGACGGGCCAAAAATTGAAGCTGCGTCTTTGATGGGATGCAAGAAACGTCAGAAGCTTAAGGGGGCAATACACTGAAAATGGCCAAAAACTGACTTGTGCGATTGCTTCCATACGCGTTGTTGAGCGTTTTTTAAACTTTTCCTGTGTCAAGACCTTACAAAAAGAAGCATTTTAAGCCCAGAATGGCGTCGATCGGACGTCAGAGAGCAGAGCAGCGCCCAATCAAATTTTCGTCAAAAGTCGAACTGGCGGGCGTCCCTCAGTCCGCTAAAATGAAGATTTCTCGACCCCGTTTGCGCCAAAATGAAGGTAATTAAAGCGGCTATAGCATGAACTAGGATTATGAACATCGAGCAACCTAAAGTACAACATTTCATCCAAAAACACTTTTTGAAGATTTTGCAAAAATGATCAAAAGAGGTTTTTTCGTAAAATTTTGTACTTTCGATTGTTCGATGTTCATAATCCTAGTTCATGCTATAGACGCTTTAATTACCTACATTTTGGCGCAAACTGGGTCGAGGTATCTTTATTTTTGCGGACTGAGGGATGCCCGCCAGTTCCACTTTTGACGAAAATTTGATTGGGCGCTGCTTCTCTCCCTGACGTCCGATCGACGCCATTCTGGGCTTAAAATGCTTCTTCTTGTAAGGTCTTGACAGTCAAGACCTAGGATGTTATGAAAAGCCCCATGGCTGTTACAAATCACCCCATGCTGGGGCGATTCGTAACAG